ACACGCACGCACGCACGCACGCACGCACGCACGTACACACACACGTGTATACACGCACGCACACATACAAACAGACGCCTACTCCCATGTATGCGGCAGAGTCGGCGCAAAGAGAATTTATCTAAGGAAGGTAAGATTATTACTGTGGGAAGCAGTCCAATGTGAAGATAATACACACACAAAGTTGCGCAGGTGTTAGGCAGGCAGGCAGTGCACCTACCACTGCGCCACGTACGCAGTAAAAACAATACATAGTATAATATATAGCGACATTCGGCACCCAGGTGTGCTTACGTTCCCACGCTCAAACACACACGCACGCACAAGCGCACGCACACACGCACACACGCACACACACGCACACACGCACGCGGAAGGTTACGAAACACGCTCTATCATGTATATTATGTTTACACTTACTCAGCTTCTTCTTACAGCAGCTATAGAAGCGCTGGCACGAGTCACAGCTCAGAGGCGACCGATGAAAAGGTCAAAGTTGGTTATAAGATCAAGGTTACAGAGGAAGAAGTCGAAGGTCACAGAAAAAGAGATCGAAGGTCACAGAGGAAGAGGTCGAATGTCACAGAGGAAGAGATCGAAGGTCACAGAGGAAGAGGTCGAAGGTCACAGAGGAAGAGGTCGAAGGTCACAGAGGAAGAGTTTGGAGGTCACAGAGGAAGAGGTCGAAGGTCACAGAGGAAGAGGTCGAAGGTCACAGAGGAAGAGGTCGAAGGTCACAGAGGAAGAGGTTGGAGGTCACAGAGGAAGAGGTCGAAGGTCACAGAGGAAGAGGTCGAAGGTCACAGAAGAAGAGGTCGAAGGTCACAGAGGAAGAGGTCGGAGGTCGCAGAGGAAGAGGTCGAAGGTCACAGAGGAAGAGGTCGGAGCTCACAGAGGAAGAGGTCGAAGGTCACAGAAGAAGAGGTCGAAGGTCACAGAGGAAGAGGTCGGAGCTCACAGAGGAAGAGGTCGAAGGTTACAGAGGAAGACGTCAAAGGTGACCATAAAAGTCGTCAAAGATGACCAAGGACGGTGTAAGAGGCGACAGCGGAAGAGGTCAGAGGCGATCGGGAAGGCAGGGGTCAGGGGCGGAGGTCAAGCTGACCACTGGCTGGCCGTCGGACTTGAGTCACCGACTACAATACATGC